GACTGACCTCAGCTAGTAAAAATAGGCCAGATTACATCTGTCTGCCATTACAGCATCTCTCTGGTATAGAGACCCACCCTGGTCACCAGGCCTACCCCAGGGCCAGGCCTACCCCCCTCCAGAACTGGCCTGCAGTTACTTTGGCACCAGTACTGTCTGTGGTCTCTTCAGTCTTCCATTACAATCATTACAGACCTATATGTACGCTGTCCATACACTTAGCTATTTATTATTATTACGGATGACGAGATGCTTCAGGGATTCAACCTCAGTGGTCCAGTAGATATCACTTAGCTCCATACCGCTAATACTGGAGGTTTGAATCCCACTTCTAGCGCTGTGTGTGTGTGAGTGTGAGTGTGTGTGTGTGTGTGTGTGGAGTTTGCAAGTTCTTGCTGGGTCATGTGGGTTACTACAACGCAAAATGACGCAGCATAGGACATGAGTATGTTTCTAAATAGCCCATAATATGTGGATATGGACTGGCATCCTATCCAGTGTGTTCCTGTGCTTCCTGGGATAGGCTCTAAGCTAACACTAAATTATTATTATTAATTATTATATTGTTATGTAATGATTTGGTGATCACCAGTCATAATTACTCTCATATATATCTGGAAGAGTAAGATAATGAACTTATTTACCAATGGGATAAAGCCTTAGAACTAATTTGCCTTTTATTCCTTTCTCTTTTGATCATTCGTTTCAGGCAAGAAATTCCTTCACAACATTTCCTGTTTCATCCCAGGCCTAGCAGGCACCTCCGTGTTACCAACATGCCTGTTTCCTGCTCAACACGTAATGGGCGTGAGAACAGAACAAAGACGGTGTGTGCTATTGGTTACAGCCGGTCCCAGAATTCCCACGATGCACTGCTGCACATCAGCAGCTCGATGCCGCAGCAGCTCGACTAACGCAGAGGGTCCGGTACCATCTACTCATGAATAGACATGAACATGCAGTCACAAGCTCCCCTTCTACATTCAAGTGCTACAACAACCTCCCATAAGACATTTTATGTGGTATGTCTGATTATCCATCCATTTTCTGTACCCGCTTGTCCTAGTCATGGGAGTCTGGAGATTATTGCGGAAACTAAAGGCGCAAGGCAGGGAATAACCCAGGATGGGGCGCCAATCCATCACAGGGCACAAGGCAGGGAACAACCCAGGATGGGGCCCCAACCCCTCACAGGGCACAAAGCAGGGAACAACCCAGGATGGGGTGCCAACCCCTCACAGGGCATAAGGCAGGGAA